ATAACACAAGAAGTCACCATCTAAACAAATTCAGATAGCATTATAGTTGGATCCCTACAGACAGAACCAAGCAGCAGACTGTTGCCTTTACCGTACATGTATATACCAAAAACCAGGATTTTGTATAAGGGATTCGACAAAATTATGCTTGTGGTTCAATTTTGTCTTTTTTTCAGACTAATAAAACATGTACATTTTCTAGGTTATAACACCTGCCAATCGACTTTTTTAGTGGTGAAAGGTAACAGGATAAGGTAAGGATTTTTCATAATTAAAGGTAACGATTTTTCGTAGGAGACCCAATCATCCAGCACACTATATGTCAGGATGTTTAAAGGTTGCCAAAGATGTTCCAGAAATTTCTGAAGGCAAAATTAAATTTCAGTTTGATTTTTTTAAACTTAAGTTGAAGGTTGATTCTTTTAATCTCCTTGCATTCTCCTTGCCTACATGTAATTCTAGAGTAATAACGGACTACAGTTAACTGTTTCTACGACCAACACCTTGGGAACTAGTACTATGAAGTATGTCTTGTCTTAGAGAGATGTCCGGCTAATAGATAGTCAAATAAAGGGAATAAAGAAAGCCAGGGATCAACTCTAGCGGTGTCCGTTAAGAAAGAGTCAACTGTAGATCAGCCAAAGGAAACTAACAATTATTAGTAAAATCCAACTAGTGGGCTATTATCAGTGCTGCATTCTGATTGGTTGAGCTGCTACCAGGCTATATGTTATAGCCCACTAGCAGCGAAAAGTGCCAGCTTTGAAAACCAAAACAATGGCGGCTGAATTGCGTTTTGCTAGCTACAGTGGTTTTAACTCAATATTTCTGACCAACTAGTAGGATTTTACTAAAACAATTATTCCTCTCGCGCTCATAACCTCTGAGTCAATAGCCCATTCGGCCTTCCGCCTCATGGGCTATTGAGTCAGAGCCCGTTCAGGCTCGAGGAATAATTGTTAATTAACCTGGGTGAAATACAGTCAAACCTCCGCTAATGGCCACCTCTTTACGACTCTTGTTTAAAACCTCTCTACAACTGCCCCCTCTTTACAACGGCCACTTTCTTCTGTCTCCAAGGTGGCCGTTGTAGAGAGGTTCAACTGTAACATTTTAACTGAATATAATTTTGATCTTACATTGTATAATTATGTACATTCAGGGCTGTCACTAACGGCCCGGGGGCAGGGATTTCCCCTGGCTTCCATGAGCGTCAGCCCCGCCTCTTTCATACATGGGTAAAAAACAAAAGGAAAATGGAACCAAAAGAACTTCTTTCCTGGGCAATTCCCCTCCTACTAATTACATATACCCAACAGCTGGAAATACTATACTATAATACAGATACTATAATATAATACAGATACTATAATAAGCCACTGAAGTATTATTCTTTCACAGGCATCCATTCTTTCCATAAAAAAAAAAAACAGTGTTTATGACCCAACTCACCAATTGGAATTGTCTTGCCATGGATCTTATCTGCCCATCCAGCATAATATCGATAACACTTTATTGTCAATTTTAAGTCTATATCAAAAGAGTCACTGAATGGCTTGCCATTGTCCAAAGTCTCCAAACTCTACGGATAATTGTGAGCAAAAAAATCACTGCACATTAACTACATGTATAAGAACCAAGCAGACTGATTAATACAAAAAAACCTACTAATTTGATCACATTACTTATAACTACAAATTAACAGGGCTTCTGGTATTTCGCACAGTTGCGGACCTGCGAAATTCAGGTATTTCCGCGAAATCCCGCAAAATTCCCAAAAAAACGCGAAATACCGCAAAATCCGCCAGAAATATTTCCAAATGCATGACGGCAAAACATATTTAATACTTATCTTGGCTATTAGACCGGTTTTATTCACCCCAAACGTCCAAAATTAGCTTGAAACTTCGTCACTGCAACAAGTAAACAACGTCCCAAAACTACCAGACATTTTTAGATGAACGTTGCGAAAAACTGGGCACTAATGTTAATAGCTTTATGTCATTAGCTCATTTCTCGAGCGAACTGTTGTTGAAAGAGCAAATGATTACCCCTGTTAAAAAAAACATTCACCAACGCTGGTCATATCGCCGCAAAATTGACCAATTTTAGCGAAATTTGCCCAAAAAAAAACCAGCGAAATCGGCTGTTTTTTACTGATTGTTTCTTGGCAAAGTTTCCCCCCGAAAATTCCCGTGAAATCGGCCGATCATCAGTTCCTAAGAAATTGCCCCTGAAAATCCTTAAAAAAATCCCGCGAAATGGGCCGATTTTTCTGCGAATTTTGACTTTTCTCCCGCGGAAATCACCCAAAATCGGCCAATTGTTCCGTGAATTTTGACTTTTTTCCCGCAAAAATCCCGCGAAATCGGCCGATTTTTCCGCGAATTTACCCCTGAAAATCCCGCGAAATTTTTGCTTTTTTTTCCACGAAATATCAGAAGCCCTGC